TTGCATATTTCTTAAAAGTTAAAGGAAGAAAAATATATTACTTCGACCATCTCTCATTTTTTTTAATGTCCTTCTTAGGGAATTGGAGATACAAAATGTCCTGCTACATCCACTTGCAGATCCGGCTTAGACTTGCTCTCAAAGATTGTGAGAGCAAAACCATCATTTGGTAACCTGTATACATTCAAAATATAGAATCGATAGTTTAATTTCTGGCATCCATAAACAGAGATGGTTATTAAAAATATAAGTAGATTTTCACCAAATTTGGTCGTGAGTGTTTTCTAGGTACGAAGGACATGCACCTGCACTCAAACCTCTCCAAGCAGACTTGACATCGTCAAGGAAAGCAGTTGATTGTGCCATTGTTTGAAAAACAAAAAGGAACAATGAGAGGTTTGTTACGAATATAAGTAATTATTTGATAAGTTAGAAACGATAATGACGTTCTCTATTTATAGTGTAGTAGGTTGTTAGGGTTTTTGGATCCAAGATTTCCGAAAATCTTGGAAAAAAGCAAAAAATATAAGATACGGTAAATAACATATATTCGTATTTGGTAAACTAATGAATGATTCACGCTTTTAGGAGAAATAAGGATATTTTGGAGTCTTTTATAATTACGATTATATTGGAATGAATATTACATGAATATCTTTTACTTATTAGGCGAGATATAGAGAATCTTTTTGCTCGAATATGCTTTTAATTACATACCAATTATGATAAATGGTTAGGATTGCAAGAAAGCATTTTTGTAGATGATCAAACCCGATTAGTTAATTGTGTATTGATTAGATCTTATGTGATCCAAGACCCACCCATTTTGAAAACACGCGGATCCTATACGATTAATGAAGAGTCAAAATTTTTTTGACCAAACTACCCTTGACGATTTTGATTAACCATATACAAAATCCAAAATTGAAATTGAAATTGAGGCCAAATTAGACCATTTTTCAATTTGTACTTCCCTTTTAATAATAAAAGGATAACAAATTCGTGAAATTCCAACATAACGCGTTTAGATCTCTTTCTCTCAAATTCGTATTCGTGGCTGTCATTATGATGGCGAATACAAAAAAAAAAAAGTTATTAATATTTGCGTCGCTTTTGGTTGTTAGTTTGCTTTTCCGACAATGATACTTCGTTGATGATAAATAAGTGACTTCAGATTTTAAGATTTGATATAAATATATGTACGCGTTAATTTGGGAAATTATAAGGATATGGTTCAATCATGAGTTCTTTTTCAAGTAAGAGAGAAGCTATTTTGATTTCAACTATTTAGAGAAATTTTAAGGAATAAACTAAAATAAAGATTATATATGGACCGACCATATAGGGTCCGAATGGTAATAGCGCTTTTTGCTGTGCGGGGAAAGCGGTATTATAGTGCGGTACGGTTCAACTGCGGTACGTGCGGGAGAAAAGTATTTGCGGGACAAGTGCGGTTTGTACAAAATAAGCGGTACGGAATAATGTTTGATTGGTGAAAAAACTATTTGCGGTACACAATAAAATGTTTGAATGATAAAAAAAGTAACAAGCGGTACGCATTACCGATTATAGATAAATATGTTAGAAATAAATATACTAATATTATTAGTGTTTTTTTGGTAATAAAGAAACATTTTCATATATTTGTGAACTTTAAATATTGATGATCAATAAAAAATAATTTGGCATAATTATTGCTAAAAATTTTAATCATAAAAAGCACAACACTATAAAAAAATACTATTATTGGTTTGAACCTAATTGTTCTCGCATATATTCGTTATTCCGTAAAACACCAGTTATAGTTTCTAGCAGTTGTAGCTTATTTTCATCGGTGCTTTCAGCTATGTCAATGAAATACTTACGCCATAATGCTTGCTCCTTAAGTGTACTTATGTATGTCCAGTAAAATCTAGTATATTTAGGAAGGTCTAGCGCAATGAATATCTCTTCCGCCTTTTTAAATTCATCGTAATCATCTTGGATCTGTATTGTTGTTTCAGTGGAAGCAGTTGAAATTTCGATTGGATGAGTTGAACCTGTTCGGCTGGAAGACATATCTACATTAAATAAATCCAACGATTACTCTGCAATTTTATAAATAAATTAGATATAAGTATTTTATTTTTTTAGTAAAATTTTTAAATATATATATATATATATATATTTACTTGTTGTTCAATATATATTTAACAAAGACCATACTATATTTATAAGTATTGCAACATTTTTAAGTAAAAACAAGTAATATTAGTCTATTTTTAGTTTCATGAAGTTTAAAAATTATTATTATAATAGGTTATAAGTAAGCTAATATTATTGGAAAAAAATTATGAAAAAATATTTCACATTTACATTCACGTCCATGGTTTTTGATGTGATTATAAAAAAATTATAAAATAAATACAATATTACCTGAAATATTAGGAAAGGAAAGATGCTGTAAAAAAAAAAAAAAAGAGAGAGGTAGGTCACGTTGGATGGAAGGAAAAAAATCTTTAGATATGTTTAGCTGGATAGAAAATGTAACATATATATAGGCTATTTTTAATAATTAAATATTACATATTTTTACTTCTATCCATTATCTGTTTGCGTTTTTCAAAAACCACTGGGTATAGACTTGAAATGCGGTCCACCCTTTAATCTGTTGGAGAAACCGCAAAATTTTTTTTTTTTTTTTTTTTCGAAAAACGCAAATTTCCAAAAAAAATTATGATTGGTAAAGTCATTGCGTTTTTGATAAAAAAAGTGGGGAAAACCGCTTTTTGTGTGTCACCAATCACTACCATAATGTTTATAACCGTTATCAGTATTCTTTTCTAGCAGTCATCAACTGTAAACTTTAACCGACCATTTTCGAATAAACTACCATTATTAATGATCCTTATTTCACGCAGAGGAAATGGAAAGAAAAAAATGCTAAAGTTCCCTACTAATTGTAATAAAGTAACCAACCAAAACAAAAAGATTAAAAATTATCGTTTCTAGTTTTCTTACATTCTCTAAAATTAAATAACTATAAATTGCATGCTAACCTTAACAATAATTTTCGTTTTGCTTGTGCATATTAATTTTTTTTTTTACATGGATATTATTTCTCTTAATTTCATCATATATTCAAAATTGTTTTAAAATATGAAACAGAATTTATTGGAACTATGGAAGAGATGTGCATGACTCAGTCAAAGCTTTCTTTTCTCCCTTTGTTGTCATAACTTTTGGCTTTTGCTTTCTCATAATTTATTTATTATTTTTATTAGCCAATAAATTGATTTTTTAATTATATAATATCTTATCCTTTTGCTTCTGACAACGACGACATTTTCAACCTGATGGAGACTTTTCAGAAGAGGTTCAGTTTTTCAGTCGAAACGGTCTGATTCCTTTCTTTACACATTTTTGTGATAAATCCATTTCGGTGGCGAACATTAAATAAAATCTCAATTCAGTTTCCTTTATTTTTTTCATGAAGAACTCGTATTTTCAGTTTTAATCAATTACTGGGGAAAAATACTTTTTACTACTTAAAATCAGTGTTCTAAAAAGCGGCCTAGGCGGTCGTCTAGGCCCCGACTAGGCGCTAGGCTCTCATGCGACGCCTAAATAACCGCCTTGACCGCCTAAAATTATATAGAACTTGTTTAGTGTATTTTTTCAATTTTAATTAGAGTTTTATTTATATATATAGTTATAAATATTCATATATTGTTTAATATAAATATAAATAAATGTTTTATTTAGTTTTTGTTTATAATTTCATAATTTTTAGTTTTATATAGATATTTTATATAACTTTTATATATAATATCATCTTTATAATGTTTTATGTTATAAACGTTTAAACCGCCTTAAAAATCGCCTAGGCCCCGATTAGGCGTTTTAGGCGCTAGGCACTGGGTCACCGCCCGCTTAGCGCCTAACGCTTTCTTGAACACTGCTTAAAATGGGCAGAAAATCTCCAAACCCCAATACACACACGTTACGCGTACAGTTTTTAGAACATTGATAAGTAGTCAAATCAGTATTTAGACAAAGAGAATATATATATATATATATATATATATATATATATATATTAGACAAAATAATATATTTCAATGTATCCAAGCTATTTTCGAAAATATAGGGTCTAAATGGTATTCGAATAATCTGGCTGAATCCGGCTGAATTGCTGAATCTGGCTGAATTTTTAGTGATTTTCAGCTGAATCTAGCTGAATTTTTACATTTTCAAATGGTAACCGCTGAATCTAGCTGAATTTTTTGTGATTTTTAGTAGTATCTATCACAATAATTAAAACTTTAACTGAAACATATCGTCAAATACTTATGAATATTAATAGAATAATTAAAAAATATCTAAATAAACTAGATATATAAAATTATCCAATGGTCTAATTAACTATTATACTAATAAATAAATACTAAATTATCTAAAATTAATACTAATATAAATAATATATTGGTTAGCAAAATTGAGTTATTCTTTCATATTTAATTTTTGAACTATGAAAAATATGTAAATAATTAATGAAAAGCTTTGTAAAGCATTATTGAAAACTTGATTTCAAAAATTAACATGATAATAAAATATATATTATCTAATTATTTTTTCTATTGTTTTCTAGTATTTTAATCAATAATATGATCAGGCTGATTAAGAAAATTATTAAATTTTTTTATATTTTAAGTAATATTTTAGTATGAGTTACGTTGTTTTGTGAAGTTTTAAAATTTTATTTTAAATTATCTAAAATTTTTTAAAATTATCAAAAATTATCTATAGTTATCCGAACATGAATTCGTCTCTTTTCTATTCTGGTAGTGATATATTATGCATCTGAATTATCCATATATCGTATATGTATAATTTAACTTATTTTAAAATATAAATTTGTTGTATAATTTTTGATATCCAAAATATTTTAATTCAATTTAAGTACTCGTTATTATCCGAACTTTTACAAGAAATGAATATATCTACATATCTGTTGGTGTTGAAAAAACTGCTGAATCTGGCTGAATTCAGCTGAATTTAGTTTTATGCAAATGGTGATTGCGGAATTGCTGAATCTGGCTGAATCCGGCTGAATGTTTTTATTATGTTATCATTTGGAGCCATATAGTGGGTTTAGTTTTGGGAGATTTTACTATTTTAGTGTAATTCATTTCTTATAGAAATGAATTTATAGAAAATACTATATGTAACATGACCAGATATTTGATACCTGGTTATAGGTTAGTTTATTCATACCTAAATGACAAGTTAGTAAGAGTTAGCATATAATCCAGACTAATAAACCTTCATTGCCATTTTATGCTGCAATTGTACAACAATGTATGCCTTTTTGATTTTTTAAGCACAAATTTGATTTTTTTTTTGTTCAAAGAAGCACAAATTTTATTGGTTAATCGAGTTCATTTGCATAGAAAACAAAGTAAAATAAAAGTGAAATATGTCATTCTGAAAAATAAAATAGATTATACATTTACTCTAACTATTAGGAGAGAAATTACAATTTTGCTTAGAAAGTTGATCATGGAAGAAGGTTACGGTTTATTATTATGAAAACATTTTAGATGGTCCAAGGCTTTCTGGACTGCTCTTGACCACTCAACTAGGAGTGTGAAGGCCAAGCGTACGCTCATGAACAACATGGCTAACGATATAGCCTTTACTATTTAAGTAACTAGGGCCTTTGTAGAGTCATGAGTGGACCCTAGATTTTATGGGACTAGCTTTTTAAGATAGTTATTGTCAAATTGGCGTACGTGATGCTATAAGATTCCACTCAACTAAATTAACTACAAAATTTGTCTCAGCTAGATATATGTGGTGTTACAATTTTCGTCTTAATTTGTATGATTATTTTTATACGTGTTAGGATCCCTGTTCAAAAACGCGGCTTCCGCGGCCGCATAATCAGCGACTAGGCGCTCGGCGGTCAGGAGCCGCCGCGATTTCGTCAATTCGGCTAACAAATCGGGAAATGTTAGAAACTTTTATTTTTAGGGAAAATAAAGGTATAAATCAGTTTTTAAAGTATAGATCTATCATATTTGGGTAAAAATCACTAAAAATACAAGAGAAAACGATAATAATCGTGAGAAAAAAATGAAAACGGCTGAGATTAGGGTTTGACGTCGCATAGAATGATGATGAAGACGAGGGCATTTTTGTCATTTCAGTAAACCAGAAAAAAAAAAAAGAGCCAAAACAAACATATGCGAGGTTCGAACCCCGGTTCGTTAGGATTCCTACACGCAACAAGCCACTGGACCAAGTCATTCTTTAAGTTATGTTCCAATATTTAGTTTCTATACATATATGTCGATAAAAATACTGAAAATTAATCCCCGATTAATCCCCGATTTAATTCCGATTTCCGATTAATCGCTAGGCCCGTACTCACCGCCCGACTAACTCCTAGCGATATTTTGAACAAGGGTTAGGATTCGAACACGACACCTACGCTTTTCCCATAAAAAAATTATTTGGATTTGAATGTTAACTGCAATTCTTAGACTTATTATGCATTTTGTTTTGGTAGATATCATCTTTGGTCCAATAACAAATACTAGAAGACTTAAAAAATAAAAACAATAAATATATAAAAAAACCAAATAGAAGACTTAAAAATTAAATGACAGGAAAATTTGATTAACAACTAACTTGACAAATGAATGAAATTGAAAACATGATACAATTTAAGAGATTCAGCTACTAAAAAAAAAAAAAAAAAACTCAGTTACATACGTATAATTTATATGGCATAAAAACTGTTTTGGATTTAACACTATATCTAGATTTTACTGGTAGTCTACAAAAAATATCCTCTATTATTTACGAAAAAACTCCAATTGTTTGTCTATGTTAAAGAAAATGTGAATAAAATATTTTAAAATGGCGGTAATAATTATTAAAAAAGTTGGATAAGAAAATACTTTTGCAAGAAAATATTATTGTAAGTTACTATTTGCATTTGAAACAAAATTTTAATAAACAAAAAGTTATTTTGCAAGAAAATATTTAGGCAACTTATTTTTGCATTAAAATTAATATTTTCGGTCCTTTTTGCAACTTCCAAAATTAAATAGGAAGGGAAATAAATAGTGAAGAAAAATACAATTATATACAGAAAAAGAAAAACACAAAGGGTGTGACTGGAAGACATTAATAGAAGAAAAGAAAAAAAGTAGAATTAGTTTTCTTCTACATTTACACCAGTCAAGAAGAAAATGTTTTCTTCTCAATTCTTCTGAAAAAGCCAAAAAGTAGAGAAAATTTTCCCTCTACAAAACTAAAGTAGAAATAATTCTTCTAAAAACTAGGTTTTGGACCCACGCTACGCGTGGGTTTATTTGTTATATCTTGGTGAAAATTATATATGATTGATGATAATTTTTAAATTACTATTAAAGCAAAATTTTCAGTTCAAATGCACAATTATAAAAATCAATAGTGTTTAAGAATAAAAT